CTGACATACGGTCCACTTTGTTTTTTTTCACTCAACTGATGTGGCACCCATGCATCGAGCTTCAAAGAGTACCCAACCTTTTTTAAACGACGAAACGCAGTTGATTTGTGGACGTTCAATTCACTGGCAACCTCTTCCGTCGAAATACGTGAGTTATTCGCAACTAAAGTCCTTAGAACATCGTCATCAAGCTCAGAAGGCCGTCCACTGCGAGGTTTATCTTCGAGGTGAAAATCTCCAGAACGAAATTTCGCGAACCATTTCTTTACTGTGCGCAGTGCTGGAGCACGGTCCAAATAAACTTCGCGAATATCTTTAGTTGCAGCGCCTACTGTTTTTCCTTTGCGGAATTCGTATAACATAATATGACGCATATGATCTTTTTCGTTGTTCATCTTCCATGCGTCTTTTCACGAAGCAACTCAAATCAAAATGAAGTTATTTTATGCTTGATTTACAGTTCGGACTGTCACCTTTCCAACGATATATAATATGTATATATTTCTTTCACGAGCTCCACTCTCAAACGATTCGAACGGCATCCAGCGAAATCGGGCACGAACTTATGCACTCATCCAATAATTCAAGCCTGCATTCCTTCGTCCAGCTGGTGAAGAGGGTAGCCGAAGATTAAGTCAGCTACATTTTCAATTGTCATGCAGTGAAGAAGTGAGAAAGATCGGCAAGGTAGCAGTTCACTTTCAAACAGAGGTCATCAATCTCCTGGCCACACACCATTATCGTACAATCACCGGCATACGAGGTTATGCCGAATATCGTCTACGTCTTCGCTGACGATCGGCAATGTGCATCGTCACTTTCATCGCTCTGTCTTTGTTTAGGTATTCTGTAGAAGCAAAGCAGGCAAAACGTCGAAAGCCCTGTGCACGAGGTTTTTTATTGTTTAGGGGAATTTAATGGTGAAATTATGGGTTTAAGTTTATATTTTTGTCATTCCAATCAAACATATATTCAAAGTGTGAAGTTTGTTTAAATCAATAAAACCGGTATTTAAATAAAAAAAAGGGTAATGCGAATTGTTCTTTTCATCTACTGATGAAACATCTACTGGAGAAGATTCCTCGTTTTACCTTTCAGGAACTCTCTCTCTCTCTCACTCTCTCTGAATCTGTTCCGTATTGTTGCTGCTAATGTCGCACTGCGGTTCATTGTTATCATCATTCACACCAAATATAGCACCAGCCGGATTTAACAGTACTTCGAATACCATCAAATTTGCAACAGATACTGCAAGAGGAGTCAATACCATCTGTCAGTATACCCCACCGCCTCGTGCTATTGACTCTTGCTTGTTGCTCATCATTTTTTTCTTCACTTTAAATTTGAAAATAAAATAGTTAAAATGATGAAACAACAAAAATTTGATTTTTTTCATTCATTCATCGATGGCCCTACCGCATTAATTTGTGTGGCGTTAACTTCCCACTCCTCTTTTAAATTGTGTTGGATAACGCTGTTTTGGCAACCTCTAGCTAAATTTGGCTTATTTTCCAATTCGGTTAAAGGACTGACGATAAGAGACGACAAGCAACGACAGGAAACGATGGCGATAACGTTGACGTGCCTACCACAACAGCGTCGTCGGACGATACTGCTGACGATGGCGTTGAACGGCAAACCAATTTTGCCGCATCGTCATTTTCACTGACGATGACGATATTCAGCATAAAACCGAAGTTATCTGCGCTGAAAAGCGACTTCAAATAGCACCACAAAAAATATTCCAGCGGCGTTAAACCGCGTCATCTTTTTGGAACCAGTGCTCCTCGCCAACAACATTCTCCAATTAGGCAACAAGTCAATATTTTTTGAAGAAATGTGAACCAAGGATTCCTTTTGGTTATAGAGCATACCAAACAGTGACTCTTTGAGAATGTAACGGCGTCTCAACAATGGCGGCTTATGGATTATCATAGCCCCATGTGCGGCAATTTAGTTTATAAGCTCCATCGCTGAACAAAACTTTCTTGCTAAAGTCGGGTTTTTGGTGACCATCTCCTTTGTACCCATACACCGAATGGGTATTTGATGGTCGTTCGACTTCAATTCTTACACGAAAAGTATTTTGTAGGCCAAGATCCTTCCGCAAAATCGTACATAAGATGGATGGGCACAGCTCCAATTCAGCAATATCGTCCACCGTACACACTGTACGTCCTTTCTGAGGATTCGCATTATCCACTGGTGTGAATATTAAACTCAGCGCGCAATGCGTCGTCCGGACCGTACCATTATTTTTGGTGATTAATTGGAAAACCCAAAATCTGAATCTGAATATGAGATTAAATATTAAAGACCAAAATTAATTACATTTTTTACTTTATTTAAATATTTATTATTACACTTTTTATAAAAAAAAAATACATTGCATTAGTTACATATCTTAAAAGCTCTTTCAGTAACCAAATATATTTATATGTAAAATTAAAACGGCACAGCTTGGCGCTTCATCCAACTACACAGTTAGCACTGCCTCACATTTTAAGCTTGCCTAGACGCAGCTGCCGCTGCTTTCTTCTCCTTCAACAGTGCATAGCATTCCGGCACATGAGTGTAGAAGTCACACAATTTCGTCTCCACATTGAAAGCCAGATATTTGCCACAATTGTACAAGCGAGGATGGCCATTGACGCAAACGAAATATTTCTTACAAGTGTTGGGATGACGGAAATAGCGCAGCTCACCCTCTGGGCTGGTATCGACTTCTTTCTCCGCGCCATCGACCGTCTCCGGTGGTGGGCACGTGAAACCGAGGAAACCCTCAGCATCACATTCGGCAACAAGATCGGGCCAATCGCATTGGTACGACTCTACATTGAAAGCCAAACCCTCTGGACATTTGGTGAGTGTTACCTCACCATGTGCACAATTCTTGTAGACACCGCAATTCTTGGGATCCCCAGAATTATAGAAACCAAATTGACGTGGACATTCAGCTGTGCCGTTAGCTGGTTGCAGACGTGTACGCTCCTTACACGTTGTGAAGGGTAAGTATGTACAGTCACCGGTGTTTTTGGTGCGTTGATTGAAGAGTAGACCGTCGGGACAGAGTTTCTCTTCGCCAACACCTTCTTTGCACTCGAGATAGGCGTCACATTGGTCATCGTCGGCGAAACGACCATTCGGTGCGGGGCATGAGCGAACGGCGCAGTGTGCTGAAGATGAAAGAAGAATACAGGTACAATATATTATTGCAATCCGTATGGTATTCACATATTAATTGAGCTTACAATACTTAAAGTATGAATTATATCTAATAGTAAGAAGATGTCTCTGTCCTGGATTCGAACTCTTAGATCATAAGGATTACAGGATCTCGCCTTCTTAGTACGAGATGAATAGTTCAATAAGTCTGAACAGATCCACCTTCGCTTTGGTTGTAATACTTTTAATACCACGTCTTCAAAATCGAGTTCGTACGAATTTTAGTCGATGGACTACCATCCTCAAAAACCGTGATTATAGGTTCATTAGAAAGAAAACCTTTCATCAATACTAGGAAACCTTTGAAAATATATAAAAAAAATATCCTAAAGATAAACAAGACAATTGTGGCACTTCCCTTCCCAAGACAATCACCGTGTGGCCCCTTATAGCCATACACCTTCTGAACGACTTTCACGTGAGAGGCATTGAAACCTAAGTATGCTGAGCCCAACCCGCAAAAAGGGCGAACTAATTACCTTGGGATTAACCTTCTCAGAATTGCGTGTAAGGTTCTAAGCGGCGTATTGTACGAAAGGCTAAAGCCCACCGTCGATATCAGTGCGGCTTTAGAGGCATGAATGAAGACAACATCTGATGAGTCAGCGTTGAGAGTTGGCTACGGCAAATACCATGTGGGCCCGATGGATAAGAATACTTCAGCTTTGAAAGTTTTCGTTGCAGTAGGAAGAGAACCACATCAAATCTGTTGGAAGGATTAGGTAGAGAGCGACCTGACTGTACTTGATTGTTGTTGCTGTAGTATCGATTCACCAACTCCACTTAGAAACAGGCAAGCTCACTCTAAGTCATCGGTGTCGCCTAACACGACCTGTCTCTATGGGTTCGGACTAGACTGAGAATGGGTTTTAGGAGCATGCAAAGATATGATTAAGGCCGTTGCATGCAGGACCTATCTTTGGTATATAGGGGTCCAGGCTGGATAATTTGGAGTTTAACCCGCTACAATATCAGGACCTGAGTTATGCCAGTATTACGCGCGATTCTCGAGACAGCTCGAGCTCTTCTACAGATAGTGGTTCGACTCAGGATACGCCATTCACAGGAGGAGAGTTCATGAAGGTGTGTACAGACTTTTAGTGAATGGCATTCAGTGCCTGTCTGTGCGCCGTCCTGTCGAGAGGTTGTTATAGATGGTGCTGAACACAGTCCTCTAGGACGAGTACTCCCTTTCTGAAGAGCCTGGGTTGGTTCGGCTTCTAATAAATGTCCCTACAGTAGCAATCCAGCGGAATATGCTTGTACAGCAAAGCTGTATGTTCCTTAACTCGTAACATAGATGCGAGGCTACCCTACTTTCTGCTGCTGGTGAAGAGGATAGCCGAGCATTTTGCTGGCTGCAGTCTTAATTGCCTTGCAGCGAAGAAGTGGGAAAGATTGTTCACTTTTGAATATAAGGTTTGAATTGGTATTTTCTATTGGCGCCATACTGCGAAAATGGGATTTGCAGGAAAGACATGCAGGAATCTCAGCTAGGCATGAATGAGAAAAACATCTCCGCCATATGCTGCTTGTGTAGAATACTCTTGCCAAAATATCTAGGAGATAAGCCTAATTGGATCTCCATCTGACGCTACAGAGAACATTAAGCCTAACCTAACCTGCTGTTAAATGCTTCTAAAGGCAACCCTGAACCAACTCTTTCCTAAGTAACCCGCTACAACATGATTCAGGGATCTGTTCTCTTTCATACACTGTCTCAGCCCCACAACCCTTAGACGGTCAGAAAAATCGTTTAAGTAATACGAAATTCGTTCTTTTCTACGATTTTATTGAATAACAAACATACAGAGTTGCCAAATAGATTCTACTCATATTTTCTTTACTATGGACTAGAGCATTATATAAGAGAGATATTAAACAAAGTAAAAAAGAGAGTTAGTATTAATTTGTGCTTCTAGAATCTCCTCTTCGATGCGGCCGCCGTTTGCGCAGACAGACGGGCATTCTTGATCTCCTGACCGCGTTGCTGAATATCAGGACTGCAAGTGGGCACATTTTCGATGTCATCACATGTTTGAGTTTCCGGATTGAAAGCGCTCGCTTCATCACAGGCAATACGACGTGGACGACCCTCTATGCAAATGAAATACACTTGGCAGTTATCGTTCGATGCATAGAATTCGTATTCCAGTTCTGGTTCGCCGATAAATTGTCCTCTGGGCGATGGTTTTGGTGGTGGACATTTGAAACCCAAGAAAGCTTCTGCATCACAGTCGGCAACTTGATCGGGCCAATCACATTTGTAAGTTTCCTTATTCCATGCCAAACCGTCGGGACAGTCGAAGACATAACCACGTCCGGAAGCGCAGTTCTTGAATTTGCCACAATTACGTGCATCGCCCATGCCATAGTAACCGAATTGATGTGGACACTCGTCCGTGGGCTGTGCAGGCTGGGAGCGGGCTTGTCCTTGTGAGCATTCTACGTCGATTGGATAGCCGCAGGGATAGCCGGAAGATTTTGGATTGTACAGCAAACCGTCAGGACAGAGTTTCTCTTCGGCAACACCATTCTTACACTCAATGTAAGCATCGCAGGAGCCAGAGACCGCTTGTGTGCCGTTTGGTTGTTGGCATTGAGCATGTGCTGGAAGGTGAAAGAGAGAAAAGAGCATAAAAGGACCAACATTAATACGATATCTCATTCGATTTGCTTACCTAGACAGAGTAGAGTGAATGAAGTGATGTAGAGTGATGAGCAGATTATTTTTTGTATATTTTTCGGTATTTTTTTTTTTTGCACACAGAAACTTTGTTATAAAATGAATGATGAATTGAAATTGGTGTTTTCGAATAACATTCCGAATATTAAGCTTACATAACTAAATTTAATGAAAAAGTTTGTGGTTTGGGAGAACTTAGCTCAGGATAGCCCTTCAACCAGGACGACAAAATTAAAAAAAATTGGTCGTTTCTTTTAAATCTAGCAGTACTTTTTCTTATTCCCTTTTGCTTTTGATTTAAGGCTAACTAACCTCATTTACTATTGTAGCTCGTCAAAGAGATGCTGTGATTTCGATTTTTTCTCTGATATTTTTTAGGATTACATATTCGTGGCGGCTGCCATTGGCAAGGCTCGGGTTCAAGTCCCCGTGTATTCAACATCCAAAAACTTATAGAAATTTAATTTAAATTAGCAATTAAGCTAAATTTCCCTATTGCTCTCGCCCCTCGATAGGAAATGTCAACCTCTCCGAGTTTACTTCTGACATGAAAATCAAAAGCTCAAAAGCTCAGCTCAGCCGTTCGGAGGCGGCTTAGTATAAATTGTAGATCCCTCCATTTTTTTGGGAAAAAATTAAGAGGCAAAACCATAATTTGGCGAAGAAGGTCGGCAGAAAACATAAAGTCCAAGCGAAAGATTTTATTTAATTATACAAAGTTTAGAAAAAAAATTTGTATTTTCTTCCATATGTACTTTTATATAAATATATATGTATGTATATACGTAATACTGATTGTTGACAACTTATGAACATGAAGCAACTGCGAAAAGTATAGTAGCAGTAAAGCTATTAGTGCTACAGACAGATGTTCATAAATACATACATGTACACGATGTGTCCCAAAAATAACCGAAATTTTTGGATATAAAATAAAATACATTTTAAATTATATTTGAAAGTTATTATTTATTCAAAATAGTTTCCATTTGACTCAACACAACGTTTGGAACGATCAACCAGCGCATGCATAGATATTTTTATGTCATTTATAGAAATTTTCTTCAGTACCTCGGTTACGGCTGCTTGAATGGCTGGGATGTCATCATAAAATGCTCTCTTCATTTTGGCTTTCAGTTTTTGAAATAAAAAATAGTCACATGGTGATAGATCAGGCTAATATAGAGGATGGTTGATGAGAGAAATCTCTTTTTTCATTAAAAATTCCAGCAATTTTTTGGTCGTCATTTAATTCATGTGGAACAAAACGCGCACAGACCGTTCTTTTCGCCAAATCTTCAGTTAAAATTCTCCAAATAGTGTTTTTACTCATATTCAATTCCTCAGTCAACATTCTCGTTGTAAAATTTGCATCCATACCAAAGATTTCACGGACTTTTTCCACCAGTTCAGCACGATTACTAGTTGATTACTAGTTTCTGGACGTCCTGCTCTAGGGTCGTCATTTAAATCCTCACAACCATTTTTAAATCGTGTAAACCACGTTTAAACTTGCGTACGACTCATACAATCATCACAATAAACTTTTTTCATTAATTTTTTTTTCAAGTTTGACATAAAATTTTATATTTGCTCTTTGTTCCATTTTATTTTTGGTTTTATTGCAATGGCTGTCACTTTCAAATCTGTCATCCGACTTTCATGATGTTAGTTGCGTTTGAAAGAGGATGAATGTATCTTTTTAATGTTTTTCAATAGATGGCGCTGTATGTTTTATGATTTAAATATAAAGTTCCGTTATATTTAGGACACACTATATATATACCAAGGTTTATAGAATATAAGGTTACGACAAGAGCAAAATCATAAGTTTAATGACGAAGTTGCGGCAATTTTGTGGGTTGTCGAAGATTTTTATATAAATTTGCATAATTTTATCTATGAATCAAGGCAACACTTTCACTCTAAAAGGTCTCGCATTTAATTTTTTTAAATTAATAGCAAACACAATTGAAACGTACTGAATATTTTTATGTCGAAAAAATATAATTTAATCTTCGAAAATTTTTAAATTATAAAAATCAATATTATTATTTTGGCAAAAATTTCTATACCTAGCAACTCCAACTTTTGCTGTCATGTAATACGAATGGCATGAGAAAATATTGTCAAAAACGCTAAAAATTATCAAAATTCCAAGCGATCTTGCATTATTTTACAATATATAATATAAAAAGAGGTTTTCGCACATTTTCTTTATCTGCTAAAAAGCTTTTGGGAAATGGGTAATGCTTATCATGTGAAAAAATCGGGTTTCAAAATTCGATGCGGTCAAAAAGTGTGCAGCGAAATTGAATTTGGTATTCTGGCGAGCTGGTTGCAATGTTAGAAAAAACTTTGGCAGCACTGCTTTTTTCGTACTTGTAAAATTAAAGTAAAAAAAGAAGAATATTCACATTGAAATGGCAGACAGTGCACAAAAAAATAAATAAGTTTTATTTATTCGTTTATTAAATCATAAATATTTGAACCTAATTTTGGAAAATATGCCCAAACGACAAAAAAAAAGCTGAATGAAAACGCTATCTTCCAAATTGAAAGTTTCATTCTTTTCTCGCAAACTTCTTAGCATACGCCTTTTTAAACTTTTTTCCTCATCTTCAATGAATTCCAGACCAAAAATATGCCTACACATTTTGGTTTATATTTTTTTTGGTATGGTAAATTTTAATACCAAAGTTAATTTTGTTACCTCGAGCATAGCATGATTAAAGCAGATTCGTTAAACGTTTTACGAATTTTGTGAAATAAATTTTCAAGCTGAAAATTTGAAATTTCGGTATTAGGTAAATGGGATAGTTAACTATTAACCCTTTGCCCTCGAGAGGTGACTCTCACTCACCATGGGGTGTGCTACCGCAACTCTGGAGGTGACTCTCACTCACCACTTGGTTTGCTGCGGTAACTCGATACGCGGGCCTGACTATCCCGACAGCCCAATTAAGTCTCTCAATTAAGAATATATAAGAGTAACGCTTTAGAAATTATCATCTTAAAAATGTAAAGATACATTTAATATTAAAATATAAAAGTTTTATGTGTTACTTTATGTGTGTAATCATTTTAAGTTAGAGTTAAGAAATTCACCAAAAACGCTACGAAATGCTTCGAGTTGCTAATGCGCCGAAACCGAAAAAGGTTCTGAGTGCAAAGGGTTAATATAATATAACATATGGTACTTAAGTTTTAAGGCCACCGCGATGTACTTATATGTAAGAATCTTATTCACATTTGGTACCCTTCGGCCACCTGGACCATGGTTTCATTAAAACAGGCTACGCCTTGCACCTTGCATATAGTAAAAAATCGCCAAACCGGTGGTGTTTACCAAAAAAAATATGTGTTTTCTTTTGTTTAAAAAAATGTTTCCCATAACTATTTTATTAGCATAACATATATTTATATATATATATATTTTAAAGGAAAACAAGATTTTTTTTTTATAATTTTTATATCAAGTCTCGCCCGCTGTACATATGAGGAAGTTAGTTCGGTGACGTCAATGGTTGTCGTAACCTTGTTTTCTATAAACCTTGTATATTTACGAGTACGTACCATAAAAGTTTTTACGGAAGCTGCACAAATTGCATTAGGTAATTTGAATTAAATGAAGTAGTTACCGGGCAAATATTTCGTTTTGACCTAATTGTCTGCTCTCGTCTTTGTTCAAAATGTCATCTTTTTATTGCTTGCATTCCAAAATGAATAGCTTTTGCTGTAGACATAATGTCAATATTGTACCTAGTCATTGCATTTGCTTATTTTATTATTATTAAGTGACGTTTGTTTTTTTTTATTAATAATTAACTAGCATTAGTGTATGTGCTTTGGAGTTAATTTGTTTTTGATGTTCAATTATTTGCCTTGAGTGTCAATAGCCACTTTTTTTTAATTTTTTTAAGTAACATTATGTAGCGCATAAGATGTGGAAAATGCTCGTGAAGAGATAATAAAAAATAAAAATAACAAAATATAATTAAAAAGGAAAATATGTGTTATATAAGTAAAGTAAATGTGCTAGTTACCGCCGGACGATTAACTCTTTTTATCAAATTCATGCTCAATTTTCTTTCATACTATTAATTATGTCAAAACATTTTATTCCATTTTCATAAACATTTTTTAGTTTGCTTGTAGAAGTCACATTTGTGAAATAAGTCTTAGGACAATAAAAGTACGCGGACCATCCATTTAATAGTGGTTTAAATAAAAATAAAAAAAAACATGTAAATAATTTATTTTCAACAAAAAATACAGAATTATTGTCCGACGGGCTGAGAGTTCGCTCGACGGTTGCCAATTCTTAAGTTAATGCGAACGTCCGTCGTCGTACGGGTTCTCAAGGCAGTGGACTAAGTCCTCAACACTATATTACCAGAGAAGGAAGACCTCCAGCCACATAAAAATAAGAAAATAACTGTAAAGAGAAATAATACCTCAACACGACATTTTAGAAAGGAAGTAGATCCCAAACGTTTCGAAATACTTGACTTAATCTATATAAAAGGTTTTGTCCTGAATGACTGACGGATCCACGCACAGCATAAACCATTGATCGTAGAGACCTGATACTTGGAAGGAGGGTGTGTTCAGCCTATATCGTAGGGATCCGATAAGAAAGGAGTTTCCGGGGTTAGATCGTCCTCTTTTGATGTCGCCTGAGCATCAGTTCTATAGTGAAGCAACTATGCTATGAGCTAAGAAGCATAATGCTTGGCTGTAGCATCCCAACAGGCATCTAAAACAGGCACATCAGAAGGGCAATACTAAATTTAAAGCACACAATCCAGCAAAACACATACAAACACCGCTGGACAAGACGACGTAAAGACAGGTAATAAACGTCATTCACCAGGAATCAGTTAACAACTTTAAAGACTGCCTCCCTGTGAATAGCATCCTC